AATTTTTATGTTACATTAATGAGTATTTTAAAGTACTTTTTCAATTAATTTTGTTAGTTGCACAATATAAATATGATTGTCACTTTATGCCACATTTAGTGTTAAAATCGAAAGTCCACTATGCTTCACAGAGCACGAATTAAAAATTTTGTTATTTGATCGACATGTATATTGGTTTTTTTTTGGTATGACAGACATGAATTGATTTTTTTTTTTGATTTTTTTTGTTTTTTGGAAAAACAAAATAAAAAAATTTATATTTTGACAGAGTCCAAGATGACAAAACGTGAATGTTGTTGTTTTGTTTGGTTTTGGTCTCCTAAAGAAACTTGTTAATAACTAACCAGAAGTACTATTTTTTGTTTGCATTGATATATATATTTTAGTTTATAAATATTTTAATTGGAATCAAAATGCGGAGCAGATCTTGTGGTAATTATAAGATTTCATTGATAATATTTGGCTTTTTGTAATTGTTAATATATAATTATAATGTTATTATACATATATAAACTCGATAAGTTGGTCACGCGATAAGTCGGTTTTGGCCTAACACGGCCAAAATTTTCTGCCCCTTTTTTTTACTATTTAAAAAAATTCGATAAGTCAGTCAATCTATATAAAGTTGCGATAAGAGCTAAGTCGGTCAGTCACTTAGTCTGAGTATAATTAAATTAGTCGTGATAAGTCGGTTTCACGTGATATATTACGCACATGACTAAATTTTCGAATTTTGATTGGTTGTTAGTTTTTGTTACACGGGACGAAAAAATAAAATTTATTTTTTAACCATAGAATATATATGTGGCTTTATTTACAATTTGATTAGAAACAATTGCGAATTATTAGCCAAATCTATCTACATTTCCAAAAAGACTATTTTATTAATTAACAATAATAATAATTTTTATCTTGTCTCATTAATTTGTTAAATCTGTGAAATTATTGGATCTAATCTAAAATAAAATATGATCAATTGACCTTTTGTTCAAATAAAGATCTATCTGAAATAAAATACAATCAATTTCTATCCTTTGTCTCGAATAAAGATAACAATTTTAAATCCATGAAAATAAAATACATCAATCTATCCTTTGTTTCAAATAAAGATAACAATTTTAAATTCATGAAAATTATTAAATCTAATTTGAAATAAAATAAAATACAATCAATTTCTAACCTTTTGTCTCTAATAAAGATAACAATTTTAAATCCATGAAGATTATTAGATCTAATTTGAAACAAATAAAATACAATTAATTTCTAACCTTTTGTCTCAAATAAAGATAACAACTTTAAATCCATGAAAATTACCTGAAATAAAATACACCAATTTCTATCCTTTGTCTTGAATAAAGATAACAACTTTAAATCCATGAAAATTATTAGATCTAATTTGAAATAAAATAAAATACAACAATCAATTCTATCCTTTGTCTCCTTGATTCGTAGAATAAAGATCCTTTACCAAATTTCTTATATATGAAAATTATTAGATCTAATTTGAAATAAAATAAAATACAACAATCAATTCTATCCTTTGTCTCCTTGATTCGTAGAATAAAGATCCTTTACCAAATTTCTTATATAAAGGATGAATTTACTGCCATGTACCTGTTATTTATAAATTTAACTATATTGTTAAAAAAAAAAAATATTAACTTCGTTTAAGAAGAACAAAAAATAAAAATTTTAATTAAAATGAACACACAAAGAAATAATGCTGAAGGAACATCTGGATCTACTAGTAAAAAGGAAGGAAATTAAAAACTCTTACAGCTATTAAAAAAAAGGAATTATGTGAATATAAACGTGATAATCCATCCAAGTCACATGAAACAATTGCTGAATTATTTGAAATAAGTAAATCAACTGTGGGTGATATTTTGAGAAGCAAAGATAAATGGCTTGCAGTTGCAGAAGATTCAACAGATGCTAATAAAAAACGCGATCGTGGAGGTGGATGGCCACAGTTAGAGGAAGCATTGTTGATTTGGGTGAATCTTGCCAATGAAGCTAACTGTACAATACAGTCAGGATTTTTTCCAAATTTGGAAATAGATTCTGGAAAAATTGGAACACTTTTGTCGATCAATTCATATATGTTACAAACGAGTTAACGTGATACTTCGTTGTCTTATAAAAAAAATTTTTTTAAAAAACATTCTAATTATAATAATTGAAATAAATACTACCAAACTTGTTTTCTTATAATCCATTCAAAATCCACAACAATCTGTTAATTTGTAGAAAGTATGCTATTGCCTAAATTTATGTAATAAAAGTTTGTTTATTGGTTTTTTAAAATAATTTTTCCGTTTTTTCTTTTGAACTTCAGTGAATAGAACATCAA